TTCGTTACCGCTGTGTTATTTCGTTCATTGTTTATAGTGGGTATTTATGGTCCCCCTTTTCTCCCCACCTAACCTCAGCTTGACCCCGCACCGCTTTGGCATCGTTTTAACAAACACAAAACACTATGGGAACCTCATTTGCTAGTAAAAATATGATAATTGGTTGTTTACCCTTCTATCTGGCAACAAAACCAAAGAATAAAACTGACACCTTTTTACAAGGAGTCATGTTTGCATAGACCGCAATACCTGCAGTCATAATACAAACAAAATAACATAACTCTGATAATGTGCACTGTCCTTGAAGTTGAGTGTGGACCAATCAACTTCAAGGACAGTGCACATTATCAGAGTTATGTTCTTTTGTTTGTATTATGACTGCAGGTATTGCGGTCTATGCAAACATGACTCCTTGTAAAAAGGTTTTGTTGCCAGATAGAAGGGTAAACAACCAATTATCAAACACAAACACGTTCTGGCTGGGTGGCTTGGAGAGACGGACGGTCACGTGGACGTGCTGGCCTGCTCGTTGTCACGAGACCAAAATAAAGCGAAACTCCCGAGTATACGTGGGCGGATTGTCCGGATTGCAATCCACCCAACACGCTCATTTGTGTCTTTCGACCCTTGTACCCCCTCGAGTCTCAATTAGGAGCAATCTCACCCATGACGGCCGGTGACTCAGCGCCTACGGCAAACGCCCCTCCAAAAAACATCAACAAACCCGAAAGTGAGAAACGATGGAAACGCATGCCACCGTCTGCGTCTTCACGCCCATTCTGCATAGGTCAACAATATGTTAGGGCCAAATGTACACATGCCGTCTACGTGCACATCACCGGCTGTGATCAGAGATATGGGCACTCACAAATTCAAGGGAACACACGTCACAGAGGACGCAAGCATTGAGAGACGCGTGCTTGGAGTCGCACCGAGAGAAAAGGAATAGAGTGCATAGATGAAAGAGCTCATGCAGGTCAAGGACATAATGTTAACTTTTGATTTAAAGCTTTCGTGAGTGCAGGGATTCATATTCTTGGTTCTTTCGGTAAAGTCACGTAGAAGGGAAATAATAAAATAATAGAAATATAAAACAATAAAAAATTTCGATTTAAAGCTTTCGTGACTGCAGGGATTCATCTTCTTGGTTCTTTCTGTAAAGTCACGTAGAAGGGAAGTAATAAAATAATAAAAAAAACATAAAAAAAAAATAATTCTCTTTATTATATTTTATTTTTATTATTTTATTACTTCCCTTCTACGTGACTTTACCGAAAGAACCAAGAAGAATAAAACATTCTCACGACGTTTCGACTGCAACACAAGCAATCATCATCAGGTGTGAAATCCCTTCTACGTGACTTTACCGAAAGAATATAATGTTAACTGTTACGAAAAGCAATTGGGCCCGGGCAGGATGCTTCACTCGAAGGCATTCACTCTTTTTCAGAAGGTGGCCGCTTTCGCCAATACTAAATCTTCAGTACGAAAGGGCCGCCACACGTTTGAAAGCATTGGGGGGATTTGACAGCAGCACGATGATGATGATGTGGGGGGGGGGGGGTGTTCACTTGTCTATTGTGGGGGGCCGTACATCAGGGGCCGCACTAAAGGTCACCGGGGGCCGCCAGTGGCCCACGGGCCCTGCAACAGAGGTCGCAACCGGGTACCCGATACCCGTACCCTACCCGATACCCGGCTACCCGTACCCGGCCGGGTACGGGTACGGGTAGCCGTTTGCGACCCTGGTGCGGCCGGGTACGGGTACGGGTAGGCCGTGAGTCACTGGTGAGTCACCGTTTGTCACTCATTTCGGGTAGGGTACGGGTACGGGTCCCCGGCCGGGTACGGGTACGGGTACCCGGCCGGGTACGGGTACGGGTACCCGGCCGAGTACGGGTACCCATTTGCGACCCTGGTGCGGCCGGGTACGGATACGGGTAAGGAATCAAAACCCGTTTGCGACCTCTGCCTTGCAATGAAGAACACCGTTCTCAGGGATGATGGCAAGTGGTGAAAATTAATGTAAAAAAAAGAGGACGTTCAGCAAGGAGATAGAGCGATGAAATCAGCTGGTATGCAGAAGCTAAATCAAACATTTGCTTGTGAAATGCCGATAGCTTGGGGAGGTCTTCATCCGGCGGTGGATAGAGCATGGCTGATGATGATGATGCCTAGCCTTGACTGAACGTCATTTGTGCTAAATGCCAGCGAACCAGCTATTCTCGAACATCGTTAGAATTTACACCACTAATGACGGATTCTGGAAATTGAAGTGCTTGCGATGCTGTGCTGCATAATGACGCGTCGGGGCGGGGAGCAGTGTGACGTCAATCACACGTCACTGAGAAAAATGCTCTTAACTCAGCATACGCATGTTTTAAATTGAAAACTCATTTCTTTAGAACTGCTTTTTGTGTTTTGTTCGTTGGCCTTCCCCCACCCCCTGCACCTCCGATTATCACGGTCGGCTCCATACATTCAATTTCATTTACTGTATTTCAATGCATTTATAACTTAAAAAATCGATCACATCTCTTTTTTTATGAATACAGTAGATGTTCATTGCATTGTGAATTACGTTAACATTTCGCAGTATTGGCAACACGTATTGGATTGAGAATAGTAAGTGTAATTATATTTTCAGCATACCACCTTTATAATATGAATAATAATAACAGTCCCGCTTGAGTATCAAGGTTTGTCATGAAGGAGCCAGCATACCTGCCTGGCACGTGTGCTCGTTCGAATGTACATTTACTCATTGCAAGTGTTGTCAGAGGTTGCTCATACTTGGTTGCTGTCTGGGAATGATGGAGACGCCAACACCTGCACCTTCCTCTACCAATATGGGATTTCCAATCAGCCCCAATGGTAGAGATCAATAACCACTATTCAATTAGAATTTAACGAAGTATTTTTTGTACTGCATGAATGTAATGCAGGTAGATAGTTGTAGATTTTTTTTACGTTTCAGATTATATTGTTGTGATTAAGGTTGTTTTTATTTCAAGCATATGTAACTTGTGATGTTTAATGTGGTCTAATGTCGCTATGTTTGATTCTGGACATATGTTTGATTTACGCCACTATATTTAATACACTTAAATATATCCTCAATTGCCGACAAGTTAATAGCTCATTCAAAATGTCGACAATTGACAATATATTGAATACTTTTAAATATATTTTCAAAAATACAGTAATGAAACACAGCAACCATTAGCATGTGCTTGCTGTCTGTGGTCTGTGCCCGCCAGACTGCTATGCAACCAGAAAATACATAACAACTGCTGGTTTTATATACTGTCGATTGACACGTCACAATCAGTTGAAAATCCACAAACATATTTAAACGCAGCATATTTATTCGAGGTTTAATACTTGATTTGATGGTTTAATTTGGATAATTGATGCATTAAGTACGTTTTTAAAAATGTCGATAATATCATTGTGGGAATATTCAATACGTTCATTAAATAGTCAGAAATCAAACGTTTATCAATAATAAAAATTAGCTACAAATATCATGCTATAGAATTGGGCTTTCTCGGGAAATAAATGTCTGAATTACGACATCTCTTTTCCACTCACTCATACTTCGTCTTCATTTGACCATACCAAATTATCATGGTCTGAATGACTAACATTACATCTCACTGCATCGTTAATATCATTATTTTCCACGATCGCTGTGCATTACCAACTACATCATTCCATTCTGTCATCGTTTTGTAAGCTATGCCAAGCAGCTTGTGTGAAGGAGCTCTGTAAATATAAAGAAGATTAAATGCCATGGGGTCAATCCATACTCTTGGTGTGTGTAAAGATGTTTTTGCATTACCGGTAACCGTGTGTAAAAACCGGTTACCGTTACACATTATGAATGCCAAACGTATAGTGGCGACCAGAGGTTGCTGAATATCTATTCCATCTCCGGGCGCGGCAGTTTAAAGAATGGCCAGGTTTATTAAATCTGTCCAGCCAGTAATATCTTAGGGGTACACCACAGTCGAGCAAAATGTCGCGGTAAGGTGGGGGGGGGGGGGTAAAGTGTGAATACGGCCAACTCTTTAAACTCTTCTGTTCAGCATGGAAGAGTAGGCCAAATACTCTCTGGAGCTCACTGGAGCGGAGGCCCTTTCACCAGCAGGGGCGTGAGTGAGCAAAAATAGATATGCAATACTACTTTTGCCATTGATTTCGCGACTGTGATGGTTTTCTGGGAAAGGACGTCAGCACAATAACTGTTGTTTACCACAAAAGTAGTATTGCATATCTATTTGAGTGTATGAACATATAGAAGTGAACCCTCTAGAATCGGTGTCTTGTGACTCCCAATTAACTAACGCTTTTTTTCTCCCATTGCATATTAATTTCGGTTTTAAATAAACGTTATTTTGGAAATATTAAGTTTTAGAGGATTAAATGTGGTGGGGGGGGGGGGGGGTCACAATACATCCGGACCGCCCTGTACAATGCAGTGTTGTTTGTACAATATTCGAGTTAATAGGTCAGATGCAGTTTAAAGCGGATGACATTTAGAAACAGTGCGTATATCGAAAGGTCAATCTGTGGAAATTATATAGTTAAAAACAAAACAATAATCCATCGACTGCTCCGGAAAGCATGCGCCCTTCGTCAGATAACATAAACGAGAATCTAAAATCCAACAAAATCGATCCATTCGTACCGTTACACGCAATAATCGATTCTAATGTGTTCGACAAACACGCGGATCGATTAAAACACCCCGAGCGTGACGTCATTACCGAAAGCAACCCGAAAGTAGGGGACAGAGAGAGGTGGGGGCAGGGGGGGTGCGGGGGGGGGGGAACCCGCACGGAAGTAGGCGTGGCCTGACTCTGCGAAAGCATCAAACAGCCAATAGAAAAGCCGCATAATATGAGGGATCGCGGGGGGGGGGGGGTCGGCGTTTGACCAATCAGCGGACGTTCCGGATTTCTTTTGACGGCGACCAATCAGAGAGCGGCGTCTTCTTCGTGCATCGTCCGCATTGTCCACGCGCCCGCTCTGTCGCCCACCCGCACTCGCGTTGATGTTGCCGAGGGGTGGACGCGCGGTTGACTATCGTAGGAAGGGGTTTTTGTTTTAGTTTTCATATTAAGTCGAGAGTGTGTGTGTGTGGGTGCAAGTCGTATTTCGTAATTGTTGAGTTAAATCGCTGGTTTTGTTTTTGTCCGACATGAGTTTGACCCGTCAGGAGGCGTACGCGGTGCTGGGCCTACCCAATGGTGAGTTGTGATCGCGTGTACACGAGAAACGACTCGACGCTATTTGTTTTTAACACGTACTAGGGCTTTCGCGACCAATTTAAACCATAGTTAAGGTCGTTTTGCGTTTGTTTGGGTGAGATCGCGTAGCTATAAACGTGTCGTTTAACCCGCCAACCAACACAGCCAACGAGTAAAGAGTTTGTGTCACGTAAGCGTGACAATTAGTGACTACTTGAGCACACCCGGTGTGTAAACGTGTACAATTCGAGTGCTCTGCCACGATGTTTCTCTGGTGCTTGTGTCCACACATTGCACGGCATGGTTTGCGTGCGTGCACGCGTGCGTGTACACGTGTTCTAGGCCAAACAATTCAAAACGAGTAAATTAATCGGTATAGTTATAGATTTGAAGCTTTCGTGACTGCAAGGAATCCTATTCTTAGGTTTTTTCGGTAAAGTCACGTAGGTAAAACATCAAAATTAATGAAAATAAAACAAAAAATCACGACGTTTCGGAGGCAACACATGATGACGAAGACTTGTGTTGCCTCCGAAACGTCGTGATTTTTTGTTTTATTTTATTTTCATTACTTTTGATGTTTTACCTACGTGACTTTACCGAAAAAACCTAAGAATATAATCGGTATCGATTTTTGGGTTACGCCACCTATGTAATGATCTGCCCAAATATGTATTCACGCGATGTATTATTTCGATAGTTTAGCTGCAATTAATTTACACGTAAGCCACTTTGTTGGGCTATTATTTGTGGCCAGATCGCTTCCGAAAAATAAGCTAAAAGCTCTGTTAGCTTTGCCTGGTAAGATACAAAAAAAAATGTTATTTTTATATATAGTTTAAAGTGCTTTGTTTACATTTCCTGTACAATACTTTGCACTCTTATCGTGTTTGTGTGGTGTTTCTTGTTGCGTTCTGACCCGCACCTACTGGACATCTTTGAAAAAATATCTTCATAGCTCATCGGATTCCTCCAGTATATAAATATTCTGATTGTGTACGTTATACTTCTTTCGCACCGTACGTAGTCAAGCGTGCTTATCAGACATGGCCAAAGAAAATTACATTACACTTTACAATCTTAACTTGTTTGGCAATAACGGTGGGGAGGGTCATAACATCAGAAAAGTTACCAGATCATTGTGACCTAACCCAAACATGTATTATGATGATTAATAACATGTTCTCGCGAAAAACTATGACGTAGTGTATAATATTAACACAAGCAATCTCAATGTGTATACAAATACACTTGACATAAGCACACGTGCTTGTTTAAAACCATACAACTCGTAGGCATTGAAGACGCCGGTTTTAAACCATGCCACATACACTACAGACAACGCATTGTTGGGCATTTTCGGTGCACTGTGTCAATACATGTCACTGTTAACCGGCACTAGGACAACCCATTTGGCAATCCACTGCTGGATGATCATGATTACCCCCCCATGTTTATTTGTCTATGATTCATCAGGTTGGAGATTGCAGCTTGTTTACCTAAGGACACTATCCAGGCTCAGCTCCGCTGACATTCCGATATTTGGGAAAATCGACTATTTGGTCATCGGCCACTGAGAAACGAGGCCACTTTAGTATCTAAATGTATACATTCACAACATCACAACATCACAACAATACATGGCCGTGTAAACTAATTGAAGAGTCCCCATCACTGACCTACGCACTTGCTATAAAGGCACTAGGTAATGCCAAACACAGGATATATATGCCAGTTCAAAGAATACACTTTGATATTCACTAAGATTTTAAAAATACACAACGCTGTACTACAGTACGCAAACACACTACACACGTAATACCGTACTCTAGAATATAAAATACCTTTTAAAGACAAATTGGAACGGTTACTGCAAGTTTGGGTAAATACTGTCGAATGTAAAACTAAAATGCTGTCAACTTTAAAACGCATACAAAGGGGGGAAATTGGTATACAGTATATAGGAAGTATTGTATATGAATTGGTGAAACACTCGTGTATGTATAGTGTACATACTGTATACGTATTACGTATGGTTGTGTGTGTGTACCACAAAGTCCTGGGGGTGAATTCCTGAGCCACTCATGTTTTTCGAGCGAGTTGGTTATCACTTGGCAACTTGCGGTTATTCTACTTTATTTGTTTAATATACAGACACACGCTTCACTTGAATAAGCGACTGCAATATCTCATTCGACTCTTGCCATCATCGTGATCATAATGCCGTTTTTCAAATGATTGCCTCAATCTGGCTTGGGGTTTCCTACAGTATACATACAATTGGTACCTTGCACACATCATTGATATGCGGTGCATTTTCTGGAGGACTTTGCTGTTTTTTCCAGCATTTTTCTGTTTGCGCATAGTCACTTTAATGTTTCTTGTTTTTGCTTGTTGCGGTTGCACCCGATTCAAGAACCGAATTGCTCACAGGGCTATACCTAATAAATGAAACTGAAAGTATTATTGGGATGAACAAAACGAAAAACGTGTTGACTGGTAACTAGCAGCAGTGAGAGGCTTTGCATGAATCAATGCTGCCGAATTGCCGACCTATCTTGTGCTACGGAGTCCCAGCTTGACGCAAAATTATATATACTACGCGTTTCAATTTCGACGTTATTTTGATCATTATATTCTTAATAATGATGCGAATACTTATTGACCTTTTAATGGAGATTCATTAGAAGATTTTAGCTGCGAAAGTTGGTATAAGCGTAATTGATTTTGAACAGTTGATGTCCTGGAGAATGCAATGCATGATATTGTTTTTAATGAAAAGAATGGGTTTGATTAACACTACTGTTGTTAATATGTACTTTATGCTGTTGTTTACTCATCTTGCATGGTACAGTGAAGGCGTCATATTCTTAGGTGTTTTCGGTAAAGTCACGTAGGTAAAACATCAAAATTTATAAAAATTATAAAATAAAATAAAGATCACGACGTTTCGGAGGCAACACCGAAACGTCGTGATCTTTATTTTATTTTATTATTTTATTAATTTTGATGTTTTACCTACGTGACTTTACCGAAAACACCTAAGAATATGATTCCTTGCAGTCACGAAAGCTTCAAGTCTAGAAACAGTGAAGGCGTTTATAAAAAATTATTGTTTTATGTATTTTTACCATCGTTAATGGACTGAACGGCATCACTTTAAGCACAGTGTTAACAGCTGGTCATAACGTTTAGGTTGGTAAAGCGTTATTGTTGGCCACGTATTTAATGGAAACTTGTTTTTATTTACAGGAGCACCTGAAGCAGAAATTAAATGTGCATACAAGAAGCTTGCTCTGGAATGGCATCCAGATAAGAATAATAACAGTGAAGCTGCTACCATTGTGAGTGGCAGGGAGTGTTTGGTATATTTTATTTTAATGTGGTGGCACATATGATCGTATTATTATACGTTTTCTTATGATCACTCATGCCTGCTGAAATACAATTGATCAGCATTGTACTGTTTTTAAATATCAGCATAGTTGTAATATTTGTGCATTTTGAGCATTGTACATTGATACATGGGTTGTTCAAATACCACATCACGTAGTAATGCACCAGCAAGGCTGTTTACTTGAGAGAACATTGATTTTGCACAGATCGCTATTCCCTGGGGTCCAAGTCCAGAAGCACTTAATGAATCTTGAAACTGATGTTAATCTGGGTAAAGAGAACACTTTTTGTAAGTCAAATTTAATCGTGGAGTTGAGACAACTACGCATCCTAATGTAAGGCGTGATCAAGGCTAATATTAATAACATTGAGAGCCTAAATATACTTGCCTCCACCGCAAACCGGCTGAAGTACACAGCTGAAAGTTATGCCAGCCGTGTTGCATGGATGACCATGCCGGCCATGTTGCATGGGGTTTTCTTGGCAGCTGATTGGCTGGTGCAGTTGGTGTGTTGTCATAATCCCGGGGAAACCACTCCACTGCCTTACAGCATTGAAATTGGCCGAGTACTTCAACATTTTATTAGAATTTTAATCCGTTTTCTTTTACGTGAGAGCTGTCGGATGTTGTTACAATCACAGGCTGCCAAGCCCATGACACACTTGACAGGCTTTTCCGTTGTTCAATCCCCCAATTTGTGAAGTATATACTTTCTAGCTGAAGACAACGTGAAATAATAATGCACATATCGCTTCGTCGAGGGTTTCAGCCTCTGTCATAACTTGAATTTCCTTTTGTACAATGCAGAAATTTCAGCAAGTTACGGGAGCATACCAACTTCTTACTGCAGAGAAAAATGAGGCTCACATGAGCTTGGTAAGCCACCAATAAAATGAATATAAATGTGTAATGCACACTTATACTACAATATCATATTTTTTGAAAATGTGTTGTGGTTGATCAGTCAATTTTATTGTCTCGTTTCATTTTGTACCTTTTTCAGGATGAAATGCTGGATTTATTCAACATGATGTTTTTTGGTGCCGGGGGTGGATTCCCATTTTATCGTCCGCGTTTTGGTGAGTAAACAAACAAACAAAATCATGTACACTACCAGGTGAATAATGATTATGTTTTTCTCTTAATAATCTAATGACCCTACATGCGAAGCATCTTTTGATAAATTGATGTTCTGTGCCAAGGGCCAGATGAACCTCTGATAAAATAAACATTTCATCCTCCTTAAAATGTTAAGAACAATACATACTAATGTATACATTTTATGATAAAACTATGTTATTGTTATTTCATAAACTACATATATGGATATTTGAATAGACTATGTTTTGTTGTTTGTTACCAATTTTATTTTCTTAAGTAAGTCTTAGTGCAGTGGTAGGTTACCTGAATACAAAAAAATTAACCCGTAAAAACAAAGTTTTTCACTATAAATCCTTTATATGCGTGGCGGCTAGAGTCCTCTCGTCCTCTGGCTTGAGATGGCTGCCACCTATGGGTCAGATGATTGCCTGCCACCATTAAGCAATTGGTAATTAAATATAATTATTTTTTTCCTAAAAAGTGTAACATTTTGGGAAAAAAATTTCACGAATATAAATTGTCACGCACAACGAGTCTGTGCAAAATGTCAGCTCGATTGGATCACGGGAAGTGGGTTAAAAAACGACCAAAAGATTTGCATGGTCGTAAGCGTGCAAGCAAGTGAACTTAATATAAAGGATTTTAAAAAAAAACAACAAGGGATTTCATTGACAGTGGGTGCACAAGCACAGATTGAAAAAACCTCTTTGTAAAAAAATATTCAAGTTTACAAACACTTGTGGTTTCTTTGTGGTTGTGTTTGAGTTCCATTCACACAGGAGGCATTTGAAGTCTTAAGATGCATGAGATTTGCTGGAAGTTTGTAGAAATGCTTTCCAGTGTACATAATTAAAAATATGTTTTCCCCTCACTTTTAGATACATGTATGCTGTTTTAGGACCTTGTCACCTACAACCAGTGGCCAAATATTTTTGAGTTTGAACATTTGAATTCCCATAGAATGAAGTCTTTCAAATGTAATGCCTGGTAACTTCTAGGCAGGATACTTCATATGAATTACATGCGAATCTCAACGGGTTGGCGTACCTGTGACTGTATACCACATGCTGTATTAATTTTGTCTCAACATTTTACCACCACCAATCCCACTCTTTACAGTATTCATCAATGGAGATAGAGACGAGTTTTACTCATCGGATGACAGCGATATGGAATATCTGTTTAACCCAAGCAGGGGTTATCGTGAACCCAACGCCTATCCCCGCCAGGGCGGCCGTGACCCTTACCATCGCACGCATGCCAGCAGCACCACCTCCACATCTCACATGGGCAAGACCACGTACAACACCATCACAGTCGAGGTACGTAGCTAACGTCGCAATATTTATGTTTTTTTTATGTGTGCGATAATGGTTTTGTAATGCATGATTAATAATATATTCTGAAATCATTGCCTGCAATGGAGAAACTTCACAACATAATTGTATGAAGCCCTCTTATGTGATTTTCATCTAAACCTTGATTTGGTGTAAAACCATTTCGACGCAAACAATTTGTAGCTATGTGATTACTATGAAGGTGATTTTTTTTTTGTGAAAATTGTCTGCTGTTTACTTACAGGAAGCAAATAAAAATGCAGCAGATCTTATACAGGAAGAGCAAAATGCTAAAAAGAAGACCGAGAAACGTAAATCTAAAAAGCAGGTTTGTTTTGCAGAATTATCACGAACCATATACTCTTAGGTGTCCTTACTTTATGCAATGTAAAAGTGTGTTTATATCATTGCAAAGTTTGTTTTCAAAGGTCTGGCATGGTAACATCAAAACAGCTGGATCTCCAGCCACTTAATTCAAACGCTTACCACCGTTGATTTAGGAGCAAAGCAACGTGTACAACCTCGCTTGCCGTGACAACAAATGGATCTTTATTGAAGAACTTAATGAAATAACTTCTACTCTTTCTTACTCGTAATTTCTGTCGACTGCAAGGCGATAAGTGGATCTTATTAGTGGCTAAAAAGCCGACTTGGAATGGTTGTATTCTGACGTTTGTTAAGGCTCTATTTGCTTTGGGAAAGTTTTTTTGCTTTCCATCTTAAATTGTGTGTACCTCCTGGTTCAATTTGGGTCCCATGTTTAAAACTAATTGTCAAACCAGATAAGACCAATACATACATAAAACATTCTCTGCAAATAACTCCAACCTGAAATACAGTTGTGTTATGGACAGAGTATATTTCCTTTGTCATCAGCTTTAATACATAACAGTAAATGTCGTCCACTATCTGAGTAAATAATAACAACACATGAGGACTTTTCTATACTCCATTATATATTTTACTTAACTATATTTATAACTCAACATTTTTTCCCCCGTAAATGGTGCATGTTATTTTTTACAAATATGTATTAAATGTTATTCATAAAGGATATTTTTGATTCTACATAATTGTTTGGAAAAATAAATGTCATGCATTTACTGAAGTGTTGATGCTTTCTTTGATGTTTTTGTTTAAGCTTTACTGTTTATATATAATTTAGCTGTAATTAAAACACAAGTGTTTGAAGCTTGCCTTGCCTTTTACAATTATATGAATGGGTGCTGTTATTTTTCATGTTAAAAATGATCTACTGTCCACAGAGGCGAAAGGAAAGAAAACAGCAAGAAAGAGTAGTTAAAGAACGCCATACAAATCCAGAAGATGATAAAGAGGTGTGTTTGTCTAATGTAATTACAGCTGATTGGAGTTGATATGATACGCAGTTTTTTTTCTCGATGTTGCCATTGGTGTCTTTAAATCCTTTATATTAAGTTCGCTTGCTTGCTTGCGTGCTTGCGTGCTTGCTTGCTTACGACCGTCCAAACCTTTCGGTCGTTTTTTAACCCACTTCCCGTGATCCAATCGAGCTGACATTTTGCACACAGACTCGTTGTGCGAGACAATTAATGTTCGTGAAAAAAAAATCCAAAATTGCGCACTGTTTAGGGAAAACTAATTAAATATTTAATTACCAATTGTTTAATACTGCAGACAATCATCTGACCCATAGGTGGCAGCCATCTCAAGCCAGAGGACGAGAGGACTCTAGCCGCCACGCATATAAAGGATTTAGAGTGAAAAACTTCGTTTTTACGGGTTATACTTATTACCACAATGTCCTGGGGTCAGTTTCCATACCGCCCTTAAGCACAGAAATCAGGTTAAGGCACAGGTGCCGAGAAATGTCACCGCTGCTGAAAGTGATTTATTGGATGCATTGTGATGTCTATTCATTTACTCCACTTAAATCTGATTAATTCAGAACTTCATGAAGCTACACAGTATATTATGGTTTAATACGTGTTTATAATGCCTATATAAGTGGTATTTGCAATGAACATAACCAATATACATACTAATAGTGTACTGTTCATGCAAGAGGCTTTTTAGTCTACCATGTTATCTAATTATCCTTGCTATTTGCTAATTTGAGCAACTGCTTGTCAGTATTTATCAATAACGTTAAGAGGGGACACGTAGGCTTTGAAGTTGGAAACCTGACCTCTTTCTTATATGGCCTTGGAGACCAGTAGGCAACTGCATATTTGGGGTTGGTGATACAACATTTCGGCATTGTGTGTATTTTGAGCCGTTCTGTGCACGTTTCATGTGGGCGTTAAAATGCACTTGTGGGCATATTAGGTGCGTTCCATTCCTTTCATATTTTGGTGAGATAAAAAAACAATGTGGCTCGTCGAAAGGCCCCAACCTCATCTTTGTGCTGGTTGCAACACAATTTATTTGTGTTACTTTTTTGCACCATAAAAAATGGGACCCCCCCCCCCCACACTTGTCGTACGTGGGGTTGAAGTTAATTGGATTGATCCAGCAGTAATTCACTCCAATCGCTCAACCACTGGTGGTCATTTGGCCTCATCGCTCTTCTATCGCTATTACCATGGTTCCCGTGAACGTCACTCATTGATTCCTCCTGCCCATGTTGAACACTCGCTTTCGTCTCAATCGTTGTTTTAAATAATAAAAAACAATGTTTTTGGTGATTTCTAATGGCGGTTCTCTTCCTTGCTTCCCCAAAGCATCAATCCTGAGTCGTATTATCCGTCTTGTGTTTCAGAGTGTGTGTTTTGATAATTCAAGTGAAAATGAAGAAGAAACAGAAGTAGCTGCTGAAAGCAAAACTGTGAATAAGGAACCCATTAAAAAACCTGGACCTCTTACAATGGACTCTAAGAAAGCGGCAGGAGCTGATGATGCCCTCAAAGGGAGGACCGTAACTAAAGCTAGTAATAAAGAAAATACGAGTCCACCCGCGTTCTCGGGCACCAAAGACCACAACGCAGGTGCTGCTTCATATTCAGAGACTCACGATAACAAGAGTGTTAGCATTGACGTGAAGTCGAATGGACATGCCAAACAGGCGAAAGCAAAGGATGCACCTTCGCATAGGGAGCCTGTACATTCATACACACGCCCTGCTTCGGAGAAGATTCGTGGCAACGGCTACGTGAACGGTGCCGAGAAGGAGTCTTCGGATTCTGAAGACGTAAGTACAGCACCCGCTTACTTTTTACCCTCCTTTTGTATTGTATAACAAGTAGTACACGGCAAAGTCACGTAGGTTAAAAATTAATAAAAATAAAATTAAAAATAAAAATCACGACGTTTCGGAGGCAACACAAGCTTCCGTCTTCAGGTGGAACCGTCACAGCAAGATAGCTGTATCACTTGATACAGCTATCACTTGATACAGCAATCGTGCTGTGACGGTCCCACCTGAAGACGGAAGCTTGTGTTGCCTCCGAAACGTCGTGATTTTATTTTACTTTTATTAATTTTAATTTTTTTACCTACGTGACTTTACCGAAAAAAACCTAAGAATATGAATCCTTGCAGTCACGAAAGCTTCAAATCTAGAAGTAGTACACTATTGACTTGAACATTTTATTACGCTGTTCCACTGGCTTGTCTTGAAATATTGTACTGCCAACATATATGGATGTATCTTGAATCGTATAGGTTGTTTTCTAATGAATATTACACTGATAACTTGTGTAAATAACGGTTATTTTAAATATGATTTAAAGCATTCAGTCCTGTAATTAACACTGGGTATGAAACGACTCATTGGTTCAGATCATTCCCAATGCCCTTGTGTGAGAATAATGTTTCTAATTTATGCAAATTGTATGCTATTGTTACTTTCAGGGGTATTGGAGCAAATGGTGACAAATTAAACTATAAAAATAAGTCAAGTAAGCCTTGAATTGCAGCTCCAAATTGTGAAAATCAAATCTCTCTGGCTTTGAGGAATGGTGGAGGTCAATTGTTATGTGCCTAATTATTCATTGCACACCTTGGTAAAATGGTTGAGAATCGAGGACGTTGGATATATAGAGGGTACTGTGTCCTCAGAATAATGAGCAGATGTATTTACATATAACGATTTATTGGGGGGGGGGGCCCCCTTGTGTTTGTTGGAAAAAAGTTGGAAATTTGGAATTCCGATGCTCAATGTAAAGGCACGCAACGGCATTGCAGACTTTGTGAGCTCCATTTCGACATCGCACAAACATGTGCTAGGCAGTCCCAGTTTCGGACTGTACAGGATATTATTGTATTCTTACACTTGTTCTCCCAGCAAAGCCTCGCTGAGTCTCATACTCTTCGAGAGGGTCGTGCAAGGAGGGCACGCTGTTGCTACGTATTATCCAAATTATGCAATTTGCAGAATTATTCGGCATTGGTATGTTTGGCCAATGCCAGTTACGTTGTTTACTTTCAATTATGGGACGAAATCGGCAAAGCTGGAAAAATCCCATGCAGAATACGGCGAGAACACAAACTCCAAACAGAAAGGAGCCCCTAATGTTGGGACTTGCACTCGGTGTTCTTGCTGTGCGGCTCAAGTTATAGCTTTGCACCACTGCTGTAGCATTTGACTATGCATTTCACAATTACCTTGTGATTTTTGAGTTGCTTCATGTGGACGTGGGGGGTGGGGGTTACCAATCTTCATAATATGCAAGTGTGTATCCAGGAGAGGTGGGTTTATCAACTTAACATTTTTATTCCTTACAATATTGGGGGCTACAGATTCCCACGTGTTAGTTTGATAACCTGCGGTCTAAAACACTTGTTTCCATTAAAATTTGTATTTTGATAGCATCTGCATGCAACCGCATCTCAAGACAAGACAGAACACTGCGACATGTGCCTTTAGGGGAAAGGAGAAATCTATTAGGGAGAGAAAGAGGCAGCCACACATTCGCAGATATAAAAAGGAAGGTTTTGAGGCTGAATTTGAATCGAGATTGTTGCAAGAAGGTAGTTCTATACCAGTGAAGCAGAGGAAAGAGAGTGACTTGACTGAGCAAAGGTGGACGAGGGTTGTAAGCGGAAAGTCTTGGTTGTAAAATCAGAGTGCATGAAGGGGTATAAGGTGAGATGAAATGATAAGAGGTAGTCGAGGGTGAGTCCATAGACCATAAGTGTGATCTTGAAGTTAATTTGGGATCAGTTTGGGAGACAATGGGTGGGATCAGTATTAGGGTGGTGTGGTTATATATACATGTGTAGAGGTGATTGTCACTCACCATTCCACAGCCGTGCAGTACCACTGATTGTCAATAGGGGGCAGCGCGTTACCTCGCCAGGGCAAATGACGTGGGGGTCACACAGAGGGCAACGGCGGATCCCAGTAACGGATCCTGAGACACATTCTTTCGGGCCCTGGGTGGGGGGAACAGGGGGAATGACGTCACCTTCCAGGTTGGCCCAGAGAGTTCTAGAAAGAGGGCGTGGCCAGGGCGGCGCAAGCCCAGAACCGGTATATAAGCCAGAGCGCTCGGAGCTCTGGCTCGGTTATTTACATGTCGAAGACTGAAGCCTGGGCTGAAGAATAGGACCCTGGACCCCAAGTTCTAGAGTCCTTCAAAGGGCTGGAGCTCAGGCCAGTGGTCAGGGGAGAATAGGTCCCTGGTAGAGAGGACCCTGGACCCAAGCTCTCTTCAGTCCTTCTAAGGGCTGTAGAGCTCGGTGAGGCCAGTGGTCAGGACCCACGGACCAGGAGGGTCAGGTCAGATAGCTCTCCGCTAGGTCCCAGCCGGAGGACGATAGGTTAACGGGTGACCAGTGTTAGGTCCCGCAGAGTCCGGAGGCCATACCTCCCCAGGTATCGGGTAAGGGGACCCGTTATACCCCTTGTGTGTGTTAAGGACCGTGTCGAGAAAAGACAATAAATACAGTGTTGCCTCGAAGAAGTTTATTCGTCAATAATTACAACACTACACATGTGTGGATGAGATGTCTGCCATTTGGTCGAGTGTTTTTACATGGCTTCTGCCTATTGTTTTGCTATCCACACTGATGTCAAATGATCTCATGTCATATATAAAGTGATATGTTCATTTACAATCAGGAAATTTGCTTAACTTCGTTAAATCTTTGCCCAGTACTTTGAGCTGTATCATTGTTTCCCCACGTGGAAATGTGTTGAGTGAACATTTTTTTCTAAATAAATGCTTCAGTCTGGTCAATATGAACTGGAGAAAGTTGCTACCAATCCAAGATGAGACTACATTAAGGCACAATGTGTATGTGGCAGCCAGTTTGAGTTGATGGACTCTGTGGCAGTTACAGCTGGGTGTCATCAGCATAGAAGTGACGTTCAACCTTAAAACTAAAAGATTTTGCCAAGTGGAAGAAAAAATATATTACGAGGTGATTTGGACGGAGGTGATCTAGGGATTGAAAACAAGAGGTTAATGAGATGGTGGCCTCTAAAGATGACAGGTGAAAGTGAGGAGATTGCGTTGACATAGGAATGACTGGGATATGAGATGCATTTTGGCTGGAAGTTGGCCAAGATGGAATTGGACAGATGGATGTTTAAATCCCCATTAATTGTGTAGAGAAGGGAGAGACCTAGGTTTGAGGTGGGATGGATGACCGTTGGAAATTGGAGGTAGGTTGGAAATGAAGGAAATAAATTAAAATAAGTTAATGTTTTGGGAATTTACGGAGGGAATTTAACATTACACTTTGACAACATAATTTTCTGATCAAATGTGTTTGGATGAGCAGAGCTTGAATGAAGTGTATGAAATGTGGTCTTTTTCAGGAACCTGAGTGGGATATGGGTAGTGCCTTTTTTGCCAAGGTTGCAAGCAAACAACAGCCAAAGCATACCAAAGTGGACAAAAAAGTGAAAAGCAAGGAAAAGCCAGTCCCAGTTAAAGAAGAAAAGCCTACAAAGGTAAAGATTAAGTCATGCTTATTTTAAAATAATCACACTCCCAAGGTGTCAGACATTTGTACTCTAAGCGTATGAAGAAAATCTTTTTTTTAGAACATTTCGATTGTCACCATGCCACATCCAATTACACTGCATGTGATTTGGCCGGTGTTGTTTTCCACTTGCTCTTTCTGTTAATGAAATGTGCTTCTTAATCTAATCTCATGCGTAATGCAATTTCATCTGTTTTTGTCATCTCAAACGCACTGCACTAACTCCACTGCTTGCTCTCTCTCCGTAGGTTCCCGCCAATGTTGTACCCCAGAAACCAAGTCCTGACGAGTTAGCTCAATGGAGTGTACAGTTTGCAGGTAAGGTTAATCTCTCAAGTCAGTTTTGTACTGGGTTTTTTTAAGTCCAGGAAAAAGCTTGTAATGTGACATTCTTTCACAACGCTTGTAAATGCTATTAAATAATCGAACCAGCACAGGCTTTATCTAACATTGGAATCACTCATGGCATATAACAAGAATTATCTAGAAAGAGATTAAATGATTAATTGGCTTCATTCTTTGAAAATAATATCGTGCAACTTGCATACAACGTTAAACATTATTTACATATTATACGCAGGATGCCCCTTTCCCATTCCGAGACATCTGCAAGTTGCAAGCAGTTCGCATTAATTTTATTTAGAGAGGCGTAGCGCTGTTCTTTTTAAAGACACTATACTCGCCGCGACACGACCGCATTATGATAGATGGTGCCAAACTATATTCCTCATGCCTTCTCGCATGGCCTTGTAGGAGCCTCGATAAGTCTAGAGGTCGAAAGACATACTGCAATGGGAAAGGGTTCAATTGCATTTATTGTGTCCATTAACACACACACACTGTAATCCATATTTATTTTGTGTTCAGCCAAGTGGTCTGCACATAAATGTGTCCGTTGAACTGTTTTTCAAATCTTAACTTCTTGCAACTTCGTCTTGTTCCAAAACAGTGCAAGGTAATGAGTTGGCAAGTAAACAGAGTTATGCAGAAGCCATTGAGAAGTTTACTGAAGCAATTAAGTTATATCCGCAAGATTTTCGGTAAGTCAACTCCCTTTGTGTAACTTGACATTTTTGCAAGCTAAATTTGAATACTAATATTATACAGCCAATTTGAGTTGATAGGAAGTAACTTGGCAGTTCAACGTTGTGTGTGACAGGCAATAATGTATTCTAAAGGCAAAATGTTGCGTGATAAAGTTGTTCATTATCTTAAGTTCTCAAGAAGAGAAACACTGCCAATCACAACTGGTGTAGCTAAGGCAGCAAATGATTTCTGTTGTGTTTTTTCTAATTAGATGTTTGCCAATTCTTAACCACATGTTTAGATCATCCTTGATGAAAGACGTCTCAGAAATACTCATTTAGTATATGGCTACACAGTGATCATAGGCACATTTTTGTAAAATGTAGCTCCTCAGTTTCTCATCGTTTATGATTTAGATGGTCTGTCATTTTGATTAAATTTATAATCTGTGTCATTATTAACCAGGTATTTTGGGAATCGATCCTATTGTTTTGAGCGTCTTGGAAAGTACAATGATGCCTTGATGGATGCGGAGTTAGCTATAAATATAAACCCAATATGGGCACGAGGATACTTTAGAAAAGCGCGGGCTTGCATTGGATTGAAGGTAAGGTTACTTTTATTAATTTTAATGTTTTACCTACGTGACTTTACCGAAAAAACCTAAGAATATAAGGTTGCTGTGTTTGCAATCTTTGACATTTCACGTGCAATTTGCATTATACCGTTCACTGGCTTTTATGATAAAGGACTATTTTGATATTTTTTGCATTAAAATTACCTTGATTTTATAAATGCCACTGCAACATGTAACTTTTGTAAATGCAGCAATGCAATAATGGATAAATGCATCGTGTACGACTTTTGCTCTTGTAAATGTCACCACCCATTATTTCCATTCCACACCACACCACAATGTCCATCTGATTTCCTCAGTTCGGACCTTGACCTATCCTTTTGAAAGGGAACTTGATGTAAATGACCATTTTTATTATAAGCAGCACCCTGATAAAACATTTTTTTACCTATTGCCAAATGGTCCAATTTTCAAGTTCAGTTTAACACGTAGGCTTTCGCGACCAATATTATTCATAATCAACGTTTTTGGGTTTAGATCGCGTTATTTATAAATGTGTCGTAACCCTCCACCACCCGACACGGCCAATCAGTTAAAAAGTGTCACGTTGACAAAATACAATTAGTTCACTGCTTTAGCCCACCGGTGTGTTGAAGCGTGAAACCACAACAATACTCAAATTGTAAATTGTTGTGGTTTCACGCTTCAACACACCGATGGGCTAAAGCAGTGAACTAATTGTATTTTGTCAACGTGACACTTTCAAGTTCAGATTTCGAATTAAGCATTGCCAGCAGATTTGATGCCCAGAACCATCACGGCATGTAATAATACAATGATTGGTCAATCTATCACATACAGTGGCGAGAACAAGTTTGAACCCCAATGATAATTAAGGAAATTAAATAGTTTTACCATAATCAACGTTTTTGGGTTTAGATCGCGTTTATTTATAAATGTGTCGTAACCCTCCACCACCCGACACGGCCAATCAGTAAAAATGTGTCACGTTGACAAAGACAAATAGTTCACTGCTTTAGCCCACTAAAGCAACATTTACAATTGTAAATGTTGTGGCTTCAACACACCGGTGGGCTAAAGCAGTGAACTATTTGTCTTTGTCAACGTGACACATTTTTACTGATTGGCCGTGTCGGGTGGTGGAGGGTTACGACACATTTATAAATAAACGCGATCTAAACCCAAAAACGTTGATTATGAATAACATTGGTCGCGAAAGCCTACGTGTTAAACTGAGTTTTACCATGATAGTCGTCTCAATTCAAACCCGGTATTTTATTAAATATACAATAGGGTTTATCTTAACAAATTCCATGTCTTCTCAAACGAAATGATGTTTGAATTAAACAAATAATGAGTAATTAAGGTTCAGGGTATGTGAAAAAGTAAGAACCCCTGGTATCGGCTCAATTAATGGAATTATAATCAGGTGTTTAAATAATTAGGTTGATCTTCAGGGGTTAGTTTTTTGGATACCCCACCCAATATAAAGATCAAAACGTTGAGTTTGGTCTTCACCATACAGGTGAGTGTGGAAACAAGTAATGCCACGATCAAAATAAATCTTGAGGAAATAGTTAATGCACATCAGTCTGGAAAGGGTTAGAAAACCATTTCTAAGGATTTGGGGCTCATCCAATACACTGTCAGTCAACAAATGGAGAGTTCATGATTCAACCATCAGAACAAGACTGAACAAGAATGGTGTTCATGGAAGGATAGCAAGGAGAAAACCACTGCTCTTCAAAACGAACATTGCCCATCTGAAGTTTGCCAAAGAACGCATAGATGATCCACAAGACTTCTGGAACAATGTTCTCTGGACAGACGACTCAAGGCAGAACGTTTTGGCCTCAATGAGAAAGTTATGTTTGGTCAAACCAAACACTGCTTTCGAATAGAGAACCTCATCCCAACTATCAAGCGTGGTGGTGGTGGGAATGTGATGGTCTGGGGAGCTGCTTTTGTCGCCTCAGGACCTGGACAGGTTGCCATCATTGACACAACCATGAATTCTGCATTGTATCAGAAGACTCCAGAGGAGAATGGCAGGACCATCCGTCCGTGAGCTGAAGCCGACTCAAAAGTGTGTCTTGCAGCAAGACCGTGATCCTTAACATGCAAGCACATCTCCAAAAGAATGGCTGCAGAAGAAGAAATTCCAAGTTTTACAATGGCCTAGTCAAAATCCAGACCTCTAAACCCCATCGAAATGTTGTGGCAGGACTTGAAGCGAGCTGTCCGTGGAGTTCTGTAAGGAGGAATGGGTAAAAATTCCTCAAATCAGATATGAGAGGACTGACCAACGGTTCCATGAAACACTTAGTTGCAGTGATTTCTGCTCAAGGGGGTGTCACCAGTTGCTGAATCTAAAGTTTCACATAATTTTTCACACATGGTTATTGAACAGAATAATTTGAGGATAAATAAATGTTGAAAGAGATTCGCGTTTTATGTTTCATTAATTTAATCGGGTTATCTTTATTATTACGACTTAGATTAAGATCTAATAACATTTTAGGCTTGAATTATGTAAAATATGAAAATCCGAAGGGGGTTCACACTTTTTCTCGACACTGCAGAAAAATGGTCTTTGGAGTATTAGTCTTTGTTAAAAATGTCCGTTTCTATTACTCATTACATATGGAATGATTCACTCCCCCACCATTATATGAATCGTCAGCAATAGGTGTTACAATTCAAGGATAAAATTACTTTATTTCTCCTTGGGATTTTCTCAAGTTCTGTCTTGTACTGTGTGCATTCCAATAAGTCCAACACGAACATTGTATATAATTTGCATAAATCTATTATTTTGTGCATGCATTTATTTAATTGTTACATGCCTACGAACCTTCCATTGCGCATGTAAGCTTCTGACTAAAGCATGTGGTGTGTTTGTTAATTTTACAGCATTATAGAGAGGCAGAAAGTGCATTATGTCAGGTGATTACTTTAGATATGTCTGAAGATGCTAAGCAAGAGCTGATGAACGTGCGAACACTCCGTCTTATGGTAAGCTACTGCACCAGTGTCATACAGTGTGTGCATATTGGAGTTTTTTTTAGTTCAGGCATAAGCGAATGGATTCGGACAATTTTTCATAGGATAATTAAGTGCATACGTAATGTATTCATACAGAGTGATTTTTCACAGCTGATGAAGTAGGGTGGAACTTTAATGAATATATATATAGTATTGCTGCCCTTCAACCTTGAGTTAAGTGAACATTTTCGCCTCATGTCAAATTCATTATAGCTTTCAGTGCCATTTGCCATCTCGCAAGCGTGGAATGAATAGCTTAGCGCTGTAATTTATGAAAACCGGTTTAAGTTGAAAGCACATCTAAGTTTTCTGATGTTTCTTTCTGTGCTCTTGTAGGAGATGGGCTTTCCACAACAGCAGTCGGAGGCTGCAATCTGGGAGTATGACACGGTGGATGCTGCTTTAGAGGCACTGCTTCGAAAAACAGGTGCATATTCCAAAGCTTTTTTTTTTTAATCCCGTATTTGTTGCCATAATTGTCCTAATTCCTATGGTAAGCTTTGCTTAGTGTGGATGCTTGATGTGGATTGATTCTACAGCTCTGCACGGCGATCTCGCCACGGTAGCGAGATGTTAACTACCTCGCCTGGTATACAGGAGGTCGTGGGTTCGATCCCATCCTGACGGCTGTATATTTGGAGTTTGCATGCTCTCTCCATGGTCGAGTGCATTTTACTCCAGATCCTCTGGTTTTTCCCTTCACATTTAGAAGCATGTGTTTTTAGAGTAATTTCTATAAATTTCCACAAGCCCCACTTCATTGAGCTATGATCTGTGGCCAGTTCTCATCTGGAAAAGATTTATAGCTCAATGGGCCTTACCTGATAACATTGAAAGTTTGGTATAGATTTTAGCAGCAGCCATAACACCTAGTCAATTCACAAACTCGGAGCTTATGTAATCGCCAATACACTGACTTTTACTGATTTCGGTCTGCTCTAATTGTATGCAAGCATTTTCGATATGCTCTAAATGTATGCAAGCATCACTGACTGCAATGGATACGTTTGTTTTGGATTCCATTGTGTTAAATCACAAATATGTAATATATTTTAGTTGTAGACACTAATTCTTCACTAATTGAGAAATATAAACCTATACACCGTTCAAAAGTAATGCAATGCTAACACATGTTAAAGCTATACAATCTAGGTGCTTGGTTATACCCAGCACGTTATGGGCAAGGGTTTGTAGATTGCCTATTTGTGAATCTCCCCAACCTTTTGAGCAGTGCGTGTGACGACGAGCTGGATAGAGATTTTTTTTCACGAACTTGCGTTCACTTTTGTGTGATTTTTTTTTTCCCTCACATTGGCCTCCTTTTCACAGCTACTCCCAATTATCTTAGCACATGTGTAAACACTCCAGTAATTGGCCATGGCATCCTCAATGTATCGGCATTGTAAAAAACAATTTTCTTAACTCAGCCAAGCTTTCCTGGATAAAACCTGTATCCTTATTTTCCTGGATAGAACATGTATTCTTACTTGCCTGGATAAAACATGTGTTCTTACTTGCCTGTACTTGGTGGTAAACCGAAGTTTGTAACCATTTTGGAACAGTAAAGCCAACTGGTGTTTATTCTCGAGCTTATCAAAAGAATTTTAAGCATTTGTAATTGAGAACACCTGATCCTGTATCTCAACTCTACTCCTGTTTCAGGTGCCTTGCCAAAATCCGGTGTGGGCAACATGGGGATACAGAATCATAAACTACCAAGTACTCGACCAAGTAAGTAAACCTGTAACTAATACATCAGGGTATTTTTTTTTATTGTGTTCGTAAATGTATTATATCATATTAGAAAATTGTAAATCCATTTCAATAAATGAGCCTCTTACATTAGAAATGTTTGTATGGGAACATGCGAATGGCAAAATGCATTCGAAATTGCCAGCTTATACCCATGAACTTGCATTGTAATGCCCAAACTAATTGCACCGATATAAGGTGAAACGTGCATTTCATTCTTTAAAAGTAAATAGTTTTTTTTGGTATTTTGTTGCCGATCTTGCTCCGCAAAGTACAATCTTGGACAGCTGTGGTACATTTATAGAAATTGGTGTCGGAGTATTAGGAGTTTTTGTGAAAGCAAATTACATTTTCTTAGGCAGATTTATGGACTCTATCCCAGGTACAGCAAGTAGTTTATGGACACCCTTAATTAAACTGGTAACTTTTTATTGTAGGCTATTGGAAAGTTCGATGCAGCATACACAATAAAGCAGTGGAAGATGTTAGGTTAAGAGATGTTTATTTTTTCATGTAAATGTCATGCATTTAATTTAGATCCCATACCACATAAATAGCATGAATGCTCACTTTAATTGTGGGATGTGGTTTGTAATTGAGAATTATCTTATAGCTGCTTAACATTAATTCAAGTAACATTAAATTGATACATTATGACTTACATCTGTTAAACAAAGAATGCCATCCTCTCCTTGGCAATTGACAAATCATTAAACCCAGTTGGAGCGTTATGCGATAACAGTACCTTTTATACCCATCCATGTAACTTTCAATGTTGGCTCTTCCCAAATTGTAGTTTTAAAGGTCCCCATCAGCACCCACACACTTTGTTTTACAAGTGGACCATTCATAATATGGGTTTTTTTTTTGGTTAGATCGCATAAATATAAATGTCGTTAAACACGCCACCACCCGACACAGCCAATTAGTAAGGTTTGTCACGTAAATAGAACATGCCATTTCGTTACTAGCATCATCAGGTTGGCATATTCTGTTTACGTGACAAACCCTACTAAATGGCTGGTGGTGGCGGGTTTAACGGCACATTTATATTTATGCGATATAACCCAAAAAACATGTGTGCATGATATTGGTCGTGAGAGCCGACGTGTTAAACTAAGTGAACCATTATTTAAAAAGCCATCCTATTTGTGTGTGCTCACGCACATGTTGTGCATTTACACAACCTGTAGATGTCACCGTACAGAGAACCCAAGACTCAAATGGTGCTTTGGGCAATTCTTCAGTGCCTCCACCTCCTCCGTGAGTAACGCACCGTTGCCGTGTCACTTGAATCCCTAGCTTAATGTCATGTTTTTGCATCTAATGATGTTACTGGTAAACTTGCAAAACAATATGCGTGCACTTGAGAGATTTTCTAGATGTTAAGATCCATAATACAAAGGTGGCATTTTTGCATATAAAAAATGAAAATAATGCACTTGTGAGCATGATGGGTATGTTATTCAAGGACTTTTTACCGTTTTATTTGTCAGTCTGCAGTTTAAAACAATGTTAATTTATTTTATTCTCAGGTATAGCATCGTCTCTTTATGGGTGGGAAACTTGACTTCTGCTGTTACTGAAGACATGCTTCAAACGCTGTTTAAGCCGTAAGTATTTATTTGTGGGTATACGGTGCATTACTATTCCAAACATCGAAGTATTGACTGCATTGACAATACATATTCTCAAATATGTGCACACTTGCGAGAAAATGTGCTGGAATAATTTGCGATTATATTCCCATTGGACTCCTGTGGAGCAGTGGTTTTATGATGATTTGCTACATCAGTTTTTGTCCCCTAAACAGCCAGTTACAATGTGCATGGTACCCAGCTTTTGTGTACTCCCCATGTCATCTGTGGTCACTGACTTACACATGTTCAGAAACATTAGGATGAGCACCAATTTGTCCACGCCACTGTATTGCTGCATTGCTTGTAATGAATTTTATGCAGGTTTCGATAATTTAATGTTTTTTTAATATATATCGACTAAATATTAATGTTTTAAAATATAAATCTATTTTGGAGTGCTTTCGGTTAAATCTAAAATGTGTTTCGAACAATATAGCAGGACCCAAGATGCATTGTATACAGTGACAAAGACAATCCAAATTGTATTGAATTGTCTTTATATACAATAACGACTTTGCGTGCTCAATTGGTAGTGTACTGCACTGTGGCGAGTTTTCTGCTTGTTTGACCCGATTTATTTGTGAATCGGACAGATTTGGACAGATCCACAGCTTCCGAATGCTGCTGGACAGAAAGTGTGCGTTTGTGAACTACACAACCAAGGAGGCCGCTGACAGAGCTTTGTGGTCCTTACAGGTGAGTTTATAAATGACAAGGGAAGTGTGTGTCTCCATGGCATCTGCGGTCACTGTGCCTCTGTTAACATACAGAATTGTTGTTTTTCAATCAATGTGTACAGCGTTTGTGTTCCATGACACCGTATTGTAAATGTTGTGGCTTGGCTCTCACACCGTACTAGTGACGAATTGGCACGTTCTGTTTACATGACAACCCTTACTAGTTGGCTGTGTCGGGTGGTGGCGGGTTTAACGACACATTTGTATATTTATGCGATCTAACCCAAAAAACCTCTTGTGGTCACAGGATTTAGTTTACATCTCGCCACCGTGGCGCCTGGTATACTGGAGGTCGCGGGTTCGATCCCGACCCTGACGCCTGTATATTTGGAGTGTGCATGTCCTCTCTCCCCTCCGAATTCAGAAACATTTGTTTAGATTATTTGGCTACTGTAAATTTCCACATCAGCCACTTCATTGAGCTATCATTTGTAGCCAGGTCGCTTCTCAATAAGAGCTACATAGCTCAGTGGGCCTTACCTGGTAAAAAAAAAAGTTTATAACATACATATCTTCTTGGTTCTTTCGGTAAAGTCACGTAGAATAGAAATAATAATACTCGACAGACCTGCTCTCCACCTGAGGACGGCTGCTTGCGTTGTGGCCGAAACGTCGTGAGAATTATTTTATTATGTTTTATTTTTATTATTTTATTATTTCCCTTCTACGTGACTTTACCGAAAGAACCAAGAAGATGAATCCCTGCAGTCACGAAAGCTTTAAATCGAAATATATATATATTTTTGCTCGTTCGCTCCCCCCCAGTTGAGCGCATGTCAGATGTCTGTGTAACAACCAAGTCTCTGCGTGGAACAAACTGTCCCGTGTGGTTTTATGTATGGAAATCTGGAGCTGCTCACATGATAGTAAATGTATTTTTCATGTCACGGCCTTTACACCCGGGGTAGCTTGGAGTGCTTTATACACGATGAGTGGCTTTCACCATGTAAAAGTAATAACGTAATACATTAAATTTTAACATTTTCCACAGGTCTTTGGGCTACAGCATTAGTCACCCACTTGAACGTGTGTTAAGTGACAAACATGTTTGCCCATGTAATAGTGTTTTTCGTATTATCTGCATCCTGTGAAGAAATTCATTTCTAATTGGAACTCTGGCAGCGAGCATTCTACTACCATGCTGTGTTGGAGAAGGGGTCCAGAAGTTGGTGTCTCAGAACTGTCAAACCCAAATTTAAATTCTCAATCTTGATTTGAAGCTTTCGTGACTGCAGGAAACCATACTCTCTGGTTCTTTCGGTAAAGTCACGTAGGTAGAAAAATAAATAAAATAAAACACGACGTTTCGGTCGCAACACAAGCGGCCGTCCTCGGGTGAGAAACATTTTAATTCTCAGCCTGACGTAAGCTAAATTGCGTGAATTTGTATTCTTGTACAAACTTTGACCGAGCCGAAACCATCCACTTGCTACACTTTAACACAATATATTAATTGGATGGCTTCCGGGATTCTAACCCTAGATCTCAGGCAAGGTACGTGCTCATTGCACTGACCATTGAGGGGCAGCAAGACACTCCGGATGGAGAACCTTTTTGTGGAGACCTTGTATTTTTGTCCTTGATATGCATGCATTCATGTGTGTGTGTGTCTCCCTTGTGTCCTCGACAGGGATACCAAGTCGCAAACACAAACCTGCTCATCCGCTTCCAGAGTGCCTCCACAAAGAGCGTCGCCGCCGCCCTTTCAGCAGCCTTCAGCAGTGCCACCAGGATCCAAAAACGGCTTCACCAAAATGCAAAGCAAAGGTGGGTTTCACTAAACTCCACGCATTATGGTGAGAAGTTCAATCTGGTCTCTGCCGCATTATTATGCAAGTACATGTCGATGTGGGAAGAATGAAGCCCTGCTGGCGTGTAGTTTGAGCAAATAATTTGGTCTGCAGGAATATTTAAAAGCTATGGCGGTTGATCCTAATGATCCACACATTCCTTTTCACCCCACCCAGTGCTAGCAGGGCTGTTCACTTAACTTGGTATTTATTGTCCTTAGCGCTATTTACCAACATGACACTCATCACACACTTGCATTCTATATATTACCAAACACACTTTTATAAATATTATGCAAGCACTGCTTTGATTGATCATTGCAATTGTTGATTTGTCTCTTCCCAGGTGAGAAGAAGGCAACGTTTACCAGCCTGTCTTCTTGAATGGACTTGAAATCCACCCTGGATGGAGGGCCTCCACTGTGTTGTTCCATAATATCGTTTGCATTGAATATACCAGCATTATGAAGCATTCTGGTTTAATTTTGAAGCTGATAATGACGTGAAGGGCAAACGTTTTGCCTGGTGTCGCATATCAATGATTCCAGGAAATTGACCCTTGTCGAGAATTTACACATCTATAAATGACAATCATTTAATTGCCTACGTTAGATGGCCGACTCGATTTGAATTTGTGCAACGCTTAAACAAAACCTTAGTTATTTAAGAACTTAAATTGCAAGCCTCCAATATAAGAATAACTTTTTTATAATGAAGTTTGTCGTTAATCTGACGTGTAACTTGCCTCTGGTCAGGTTTCATGCCATTTTGCATTTGTTACCAATTATGTTTATGATGCTTTGGGCTCATACGTTTGTAGAATGCCTTAATTTTAATAACTACTTTTATTCAACACTTTTCTAGGCTTCATCTTGTTCCGTTATATTACATGGTAAACTAAAGCCTACATCAGCCAAGTACTTGCAACAAAAGTATTTGATCACGATGTAACACTTGGCATTTTATAATTGATCCTAACCAACTCCCAAGTCTAAAATATGATATTCATAACTGGTATATGTTAACTCCAACTTTATTTTGCAGCTTACTATATTGACCGGCTAAGTATAAAAAAACATTTACCTGCACACGCACTTGTCATCAAGGTTCTGCCATTTTTTTAAAGTCAAGTGGTAGGCCCAAAAGTTATCCTGATGATGTTGACAGCAAATACAAACGTTTAAATCGGATATCTTCATAGATGGCAGCAATAAGATTAAGCTGAGGTTAACAAAACTTAAGACATAGGTCGGTAGCAGTTTAGTTTAGAAAAAGATTACAATTGTTGCTTATTTCAATGCAGTTATATTTTTCCTGTAGGCACCACCAGTCTGCCTTTCGAAGATGTGCAGCAATTCCACCAATTGCTGTAAAACCACCAATGTGGATAAGATGCCCACAATTAGTTTGAGTATGGGAGTATTAACTTTTTTGACTGTCAAATAAATATTAATTTAAATCATTGTGGTTTTTGGTGACTTTATTGGCCTTAATCGAGAAATAGGAGTTTTGGTCAATTCCTATTTTTATTAAATGCTTAACCTGGATTTCAAACCAAACAATTATGCCTTCTCAGCTCTGCTAAAATAATTCCATCTCAGAATCTACCGAGGATGCTGTTGTGAAGCTGCTCCACATTACAGCTATCAAAATAAATGTTCTTAAACCACTTAAACTCGCGTGGGTAACCCGTTTTTCTAAGCCATACACAATGTATGCCTTGGACTTTCATTAGTTTTTTTATCTGTAGTTTAGTTTGCTCTTTATGTGTTTAATAAAGCCTACAGATGTGCAGTAAACATCAGCATAATATACATTTTCATTTAATCAGCACTAGTCGGGCAGGACTGTTTAGATGAACAATTTTCACGTCCTAAATAACGAAATTAGTCTTATTTTTTCACGGATTAAGAAGCCGAGATAATAACGTTTCCTGCAGCTACACAGCTGAAATTGCCCCCTTGCAGATTCAGAACATTTGCAATTACTACCAGTGTTTAAGATTTTTATTTTACATGTAGCTATCTTCTTAATGTGCTCTGCCTTGGACGTGTTTTAAGCCTTGCCTAGAGGGGGTTAAAACAAGTGGTGTAATTCCCAGTCCAAGGCCCGCGTGCGCACATTGAGAGAGCGGTGTGGATACGATTTAAAGATGATGCTGGAGCGCCACCAGGGGGAACTGCATATTCTAAGCCAGTTTAACCAAGTGGAGGAATTGCAGCTGGAATCCAACGACATGGCCCAACTTTACATTGTCAACGATAGCCGCTCGCTTGCAGACCACACAACAAGCGGTGATATAACGTGGATTGCAAACGTAGTTTGAAAAGGCATTGGGATGGGTATTTAGCACTGCAATTGGCTAAGCCCCTTTTAAACGTTGACATTCCACTGAAATTACATGGACCGGTGTTGGTTCGTGGTGAATATATTAGGGAGGTATTTTTTAAGTGCTTTATATAAAATGTCGTTCTTGCAAATCTGTTGAGTGACTGACAGGTGGGAATTTATATTTATTATTTTGGCTATGCCAGCTCCTGAACCTTTTTTTAGAATTTGACATGTAGTATTTTGCAAATGTCACATTTTTCTTGCGTTGTTTGCTATCGGTTTTAAAGTTTGAACGAGAACTCTATTTAATGTTCAGCTGAATTGTTGTTGATTAGAACGTTTTAAGTTAAATGCTAAAAGTTCTCGATTGAAATTTTGTAATCTTTTGTAATGAACGTTACGTTAATACCTGCCACTTTCAATGACATCAATAATTGTAAATACAAACCTCTTAGTATCTTTGATAATAAATCTTATTTGAAACTTTGCATTCCGATGTAGTATGTCACTCCACTTATACTGGTAGGAACCTCCTGGTTACACCAGCCCACGGGATTATTCTGTCCGTCCGTCGTGCATCCAAAAATGGGTGGGGAGGGGCTGGGTTGGGTGGGGTGGGGAGGGGCTGTGTGCTTGGAATTTCCACAAAGGCCATTGAGTATTTCGTGTTTGATGGTCCGCATTGGCTGGTGGGTGTAAACTGTTTACGCGCGAATGGCAGCATTTAAACAATATCCGCTCGTGCTGTCGCTGCAAATATGTTTTTCTATTGGCGATTAAACTGTTTAAACAACAACAACAAAAGTACATTTGAAAAATTCGTCTGGCTGATAAAATCCACGGCACTCGACTTCAGTAAACACGTGTTGGGTCAGCCTCACTCGCACGAGTCTCAATATTCGTGACATTGCGGTGACGCTACAGCACTACATCTTTTTTTTACACACATAAAATGCATTGTCTCTGTGTGTGGCCGAAACTTGCGAAAGATTTGGCTCGCATACCGTGGGGTAAAATGTAAAAAAAGTACCGAGGTACCACGCCATAAGCCCCGTGCTGAGCCAGCGCTATTCCGATTTCGCGTCCGTCACCTTTAAAGTAGTTTAATTAGCGATTCAGTGCTGTTTTCGGTTATTAATTTCTTACACACCGCGTGCTCGACCCTACCAACTCACACGCGTTCGGTGGGGGGGAGAGGGAAATTCTCTTTCGTTTGGACACTGCGCAACACAGATTTATAACTACCTTCAAACATTTATTACCATGACTGTTTACTCGTTACGAATTTACTTTTATTGGTTAGATTTAATGACAGGGATGAACCAATGTTTATGAAGAATAGCCTTTTTAAATCCTTTATATTAAGTTCGCTTGCTTGCTTAGGACCGTGCAAATCTTTCGGTCGTTTTTTAACCCACTTCCCGTGATCCAATCGACCTGACATTTTGCACACAGACTCGTTGTGCGTGACAATGCATTTTCGTGAAATTTTTTTTCAAAAATTCTACACTGTTTAGGGAAAAATAAATATTTAATTACCAATTGTTTAATGCTGCCAGACAATCATCTGACCCATAGGTAGCAGCCATCTCAAGCCAGAGGACGAGAGGACTCTAGCCGCCCCGATGCCACGCATATAAAGGATTTATAGTGAAAAACTTTGTTTTTACGGGATAATTTTTATGTACTCTTGAGGCATAAGCAGCCACGCAATATCACTTACTGCACAGGGGGAAACCAATAAATATACTCAATTACGTCTTCATTCTGTCATATTTACACTTGCTCCCTCAATAAGGGGATTGAGCAGTGACGCTATGTCAATTACGCTTGATTGGTGCGCATCTGCTCATAGTTACAGGTAGGTTTGGTTCATTTTATATTCGTTGACTTTCATTCATTTGCCGCTCTTGCTCGCGGCAAATGTTTGCACCAAAACACCCTCGCAGTCGCTCCTAATTACTTTCGCTAAAGTCTATTATTATTTGCAAACTTATTTAGTCTATATAAAAGTTAGAGTGTGCGTGTGTACGTCCATGTGTGCGTGTGAGTCCATATATGTGTGTGCGTTGTGTCTGTGCGAGTCCGTGTGTGTGTACGTCCATGTGTGTGTGCGGTGTGTTTAAGTCGATGTGTGTGTGTCAGTCGGTGTGTGTGTGGAAGTCCATGTGTGTGTCTTAGTCGATGTGTGTGTGTAAGTCCATATGTGTGTGCGTAGTTCCATGCGCGTGTTAGTCTATGTATGTGTGTATTTAAGTCGATGTGTGTGTGGGTCCATGTGTGTCAGTCGATGTGTGTGTGTGTGTGTACGTCGATATGTGTGTGTGTGAGTCGATATGTGTTTGTGTGTGTAGGTCCATGTGTGTGTGACTATGCATGTGTGTGTTTAAGTTTATGTGTGTGTGTAAGTGGATGTGTGTGTGTGTGAGTCGCTGTGTGTCTGTACGTCGATATGTGGTGTGTGTGTAAGTCCATATTTTGTGTGTGTGTATAGGTCTATGTGTGTGTGTAGGTCTATGTGTGTGTTACTCTATGTATGTGTGTGTGAGTCGATGTGTGTAAGTCTATGTGTGAGTGTGAGTCGATGTGTTTGTGTAACTCCATGTGTGTATGTCTAAAGTCGATGTCTGTGTGTTCCTGCATGTGTGTGTGTAAGTAGATGTGTGTGTGTGTCTTTTTCGAACCGGGCAACGCCGGGTACTTTCCCGCTAGTCATTATATAATTATTCCATTACTCAACGAATAGGACCTTGGTTTAATGGCATTTGTGCAATAAACGCAAACGCATCCCAATCTGAGCGATTCGTAAACTACGCAGCACAATATGGGCCCCACCCCTGTTCGATGTCTGTTGTTCTCTCGTCTTTGTGTTCCACGGATCTCGAGCCGGTGTATTCTCCACGTCTGTGCGCGTTCCCCTGTCGCGAAAACGAAAGAGGCAGCTGCATGGATGACGATAGGACGCTTTTGTGCACAGGAATGTTCAGACTGCCCCAATCCAGGCGGAGTCTGGAACAAAATACCGGACATTTCGTGGTGGTAACGTATCATCATCATCATCACCACCACTACCACCACCATCATCGGGAGAGTAAAGCAAACTCCGCAGAAGCAGCAAGCGGTTCTCAAGGCCCGTTAAGTGAGCGTGAGAGAAGAAGTGGGGGGGGGGGGGGAGAGAGCGATAGGAATTTTGGAACGGGTTTCTCGCACGTACACACACTCACTCATCCACGCACTAACTCATCCACGCACGCACGCACACACACGAGCCTCCACGTAGCAATAAGCGCAGTCAGCATTGCCCGAAAGTCGCCGAGTTGAGTTCAAGACTGCTGCTGCAGCTGCTGCTGATATAAGAGAAAGTAAGAGGAGGAAAGTAAGTAACTTTTGACCAAGGTAGTTCTTTGTTGATTGATGTATGGTCGCTTATTGCGTATGCAGTGTGTGCAAGCCGTACATCGGATGTGTCATCTGAAACGTTTAATGTTACATTTGACATGCTTAATTTGTGCTTTGTGCTCGTTTCGTATGTCCCATGATTTAAAATATATATATAGAAAAGTAAAAAAGAAACCTTGTACTCGTGTTAAAAAAAATGTATTATGCCGAAGCTCCATTGGTGATGATGTGTATCCAGTAGCCGTGTTCTTTAAAGTAATTTCTAAAGTGTTCGTTGTCAGTGTCAGTCCATCGGCAGTTCGAGTGTGGTGGAGTATGGGAGTATCAGGACGGTCTAAACAACCAAGCGTGCGTGGAAGAGTAGACCAATACACCCTCTCTAAGTAGAGGCCCCTTCAGACAGCAGTTAGCATGAACAATTTATTGCAGTCTAAGCTCATGGTGTTACTGCATTAGCATTGAGCGGAAATGCCTCTGGCGTTTAAAGAGCAATGCTTGCGGGGAGAGCGCGCACTTCGTATTCAGCTCCGGGCAAATGGTGCAAATTCAGTGGCAGAGCAGCATTCTGTGAAAAGATCAGTCGCACTGATGTCATGTCTAGACCTGTCCATGTGGGGGTCTGGTTATATGAGGCTTCTGGGGCTACCGTTTTGGGCCATTGAGGGTGAATGGGTTTGTTCCCACATCGTTATCGTAAATGTAGTTTCTCCCAATCACCCACGCTACTGAAATCGAAACCGTTCGCCCAAATTTAACATCTCGTGCCCCCACCCCCTCGACTCTTATTTCCGAGTACGTGCGGAAAGTAACGCATTGTTTTAGTTGTTGTTGACTGGCAGTGAAGTTATGTATCAACAATAACCTTTACAGCGTGAATGAAGAAGACCCTTTATGTTAATGTATTGATTCTTCTCCAATTGATTTTTTTACAATGATAATTAATTTATGTTTTCGCTGTCCTTTAATATCAATGTAAATGATGCTTAAATGGCAATACGTGTAATGCTGACAGTGACTTAAATAAAACAAATGTAAAATTATCTTTTAGAAATTTTTTTTCACATTTAGTGACTTGCTCCTATAGTTTTGTTTTTTAAATTGTTCGCTGTTGTAACTTGCTGACCGACCCACCCATACTGGGCATTTGTGAAAAAGAGCTTCACCATTGTATTCCTCCTCCAGTTTAAATACAGATTGTCTGATTCGCTTCTGCATGATTTTGAATGAAAATACCATCAACAGAAAAGCCACCCAAGGATGAAGCTCCCGCTCATCACCCTGCCACTCCTCCTGTTCGTCGTCCACTTGTGCCTCGCTCATGAACCCCTGCGGAGGAGAAGGCAGGGGAGACAGAACGGCAGGGTAATCCGACAAATCCAGCGGCCCAGGCAGTCTTCCCAGGCCAGGCAACCCTCGCAGGCTGGACAACCGAGAAAACCCGAGGAGCCGGCCAACGGCGGATACAAGCTGCGTCTTGCCGGCTACCCACGCAAACCGTTTGAAGGCCGCGTGGAGGTGTTCCACCAGGGCGAGTGGGGCACGGTGTGCGATGACGACTTCTCCATGGAGGCGGCCAACGTGGTGTGCCAGGAGGCGGGATTCATCGGGGCCAACGGCTGGGCGCACAGCGCAAAGTACGGCCGAGGAATAGGTACGCATTTCAAGCCCTGTCACAAAGTGCCTTGTGGAGAATTGGACTTCGTGACTGCGTTGCGCTTCAGGCCCATGCTGGTTAATTTGTTCCCAAAATAGTTGCTCATATCAGTGGCGTGCCAGGTATAAGCAAACTAAGCAAAAAAACGTGGACCTCGAAATAGGTCGCGAATGCCTACGTGTTAAATTCCTATCATCGTTTTAATTTCTAACCTCTTAAATATTCTCTCTCTCTCTTCTATCTCATATAAATGCATATTCTGTCTTCTACTTATCTCTCACGAATACATCTCTCTCCTATACTATATTATATATTTTGTATCTCATACGAAACACATCTCTCTCACTTATTACCTACAGTTAACCTGAGTGCATCTGTCTTCTAACATTCTCTCCCTTCTATCCCATCGGAATGCATCCAGTCTCCCATCTGTCTATCTCTGAAGTTTTTATGTATCTCTGTTGCACATCTGTATATGTATCCTGCCATCTCTCTCACATCTTGTGTCAATACATCTCTCCTCCTTGAACTCATATCCCGTCTGAATGCTTCTACATCCATGCTATCTCAGTATTTTACCACGACATCTGTATCTTATTTCTCTCAACTCCATCCTATTTGGATTTTCATCTCACACTATCTCTGTTTATCGCTTACACCTTTCATCTCACTGCATCTATATTTTTTGCCTACATTTATCTCACCTCAAGACTTATGTATCTCTTGACTGTGTGTCTCGCTCAGTCATATCACCAGGAGGACAAACTTTCAAGTGAAGACCCAAAATTATGGGCATGCACCACCACTGACCGCTAACGCTTTTTCTATGATGATATATAAGCAGCAAAATATTGAAAATTAGCCTCACCACTGCGAGGCTATTGTGACCTGCAGTGGTGTGTTTTAGTAGTAACGGTGCTTAATATTTTGATATTGTCATTAGAAAATGTCACGCAGTCAGGATAATAAATCATCGCTCTTGATAGATGCCGTGTGATATATAGTCCCCAGATATACAAATATATTAATCTTGTCACAATCATCAATCACCATGAGCTCATTACACCCCCAAATGGATGTTCAAAGGCCATCATTACATCCTAATCGATTCGTACCTGCCACCGTTAATTTGCAGAATCTATATCCAGGTCAGACCAAGGCAGATGCACATATTTCAAGAAAATGTTAACTTGTAACAGGTATTATTTTTGTGGCCAACATTATCCATCTGCCCTGAAAATATTTTTATTCCTAAACTTCTATATATTTTTTTTATACATATACTGCACCCAGACAAACAGCATCGATGTGGAAACAGAACAACAAGAAGGTGAGAGGCATTGACATCCAGAAGGATTACGAGAGAGTTTATAGTGAGTGTTTGGTTGTGTAAGGACAGACTGCGGGAACCCCCAATAACGTTTAAGTCGAGGATAATATATAAGCCGGGCAGTGGTTGGTGTGCACCAGTCGTCTAGCATTGTGGAGGCTTAGGTTGACGGTTGGCTCAAATGTTGCGCAAAGTCCCTTCCCATAGGGGCATTAAGGTGTCATACCCTGGCTCTCCAGGAGAAGGCAGTAGAGCAAGTGAACTAATTTGCCATCTGTTTCCATCTGTATGGAGTGTTGCCGCCTTGCACACGTGGGAGTTTTTTTCCCAGGTGCTCCGGTTTCCTCCCATGTGTGTAGTGTAAATACTCATCATAAGTGGTTGAAAACATCTTAGACTAAAACCCCAATGCAGAACCCTCCTGAGAAAGAGTCCTACGATTTAGTGTGCCTTCCTGGATAAATAAGTAAATTATTCTTAAATCAACACTTGTTTTCAGTTTCCACTCATTGAAACTGCAAGTTGAGTTGACTTTTATGTTCAGGTCAGATCACTGAGCCAGCGTTGCTGAGATCCTACCGTTGAAAAAGTCTCATCTCTCGTGTCATTCTCGAACACGCACGGAGGGGGGGGGGCGCTCTGTGCTTTGTGACATTTCTGATTTCCGAAGTGACGGATTCCTTCGTCTCGTGACGCGACTTTTGGTCGTGTAATTTTAGAGAGAAAAAAAAAGTTGGGGGGGGTGGAGGGTGGAAATTAAAGGAGCACCGTCTGATAGTGAAGCCGCGGGATGCAGCGGTGTGGTGCGTTGAAGCCGTGTTGTTGTCTGGCCCGTGCGCTCGCGACGTGAACGCTCCCCAGGGAGGATCTGGCTGGACAACGTGCACTGTCGTGGAAGCGAGCAGAGCCTGGCGGAGTGCGTCTCGCGCGGCTGGGGCGTCAGCGACTGCAACCACGACGAGGACGTGGGTGTCGTTTGCAAGGAAACGCGCCTCAAGGGCAGCCCGGAGTTTAACGTCATCGAGGTGCCCGTCGGAGGTTTTTCTTTTCTTTGTCGGTGCCTTCATTAATGTCACGTTTTAGGTCCACATGTCTTTGGACTCCTGTAATAGTGGGCCTTTGACTAAATCATCTGCAATGTGCCCGATCTACTCACATCTTGCAAGTTGAGCAGCCTGGACAGCGCTGGTTGGAAGACCACCATGCCTAACAGGTGTTATAGACTGTGGGGCTACGTTGCGGGTCAGAAGAGGACAAGCGTAGCAAAATCCATTGTTGCACTGTGCTTCTATGTCCTCGCGTCTAACCTCACCGCCTTCACCAACTCGCACTTACCAGAACGGTGAAGTATAGTTGACTAACCCTCGCGAACTGCACTGCAAGAGGAGGCCCACATCCAGCAGTGGATTAACGACAAAAGGGCTGTACTTGACTCATAGTGAATGTACGTGAGATGAGAAGAGTATGTATGATGATGATGAATATTGTTTTGTGCTAGTGTATGTTTTTGGTACGTAATATGCCATGGATGATTTTCCATGTCACAGCGCATAAGCGTTCGTGATTGGAACGAGATTTGCGAGCATTAGAAAAATATGTTGTTGATTCGCAAGTAGAATTAAATAGGATGAAGGGGGGGGGGGAACGTTTGCACATGTGTAAGAGTTTTAGAAATGGACTCTTTGGAAACGCCGCATCAGATGTTTTGTTAAATCAGATTTAGAGAGTGGTTTCACCTCCCATTAAGTACAACAGACAAGTTACATCATGGGATCTTCTTTGCCAGTACCAAAATATACTAGAAGGGTTTTTCCCCTTTTTTCTGGCAAACTGACACCTTTTGCAAGGAATCATGCTTACATTAACCACAATACCTGCAGTCAAATGCAAACAAAAAACAATACTCTGATAATTTATGCATTGTCTTTGAAACTGATTGGTCCACACCAGAGACAGCTTTCTTTGGAGCCTAGTCTCATATGGTGTTCGACCAGATGACGCCAAAACACCATATGAGACAAGGCTCCAAAGAAAGCTGTCTCTGGTGTGGACCAATCAGTTTCAAAGACAATGCATAAATTATCAGAGTATTGTTTTTTGTTTGCATTTGACTGCAGGTATTGTGGTTAATGTAAGCATGATTCCTTGCAAAAGGTGTCAGTTTTGTTGCTAGAAAAAAGGGGGAAAACCCTATTAGTATAAAAGACAAGTTATCAATACATAAATGTTCATGATCTACGCAGTGTGATGTAACCAGGGTGTCAGGGTGGCAGAGTGGTAACACGTATGTCTTACAGCAAGAACGGCCTGGGCTCCCGACTCGAGTGCCTTTCTGTGTGGAGTTTGCATGTCCCACCCCTGTCCTGTATGGGTTTCCTCCCAGTGTGAAAAAAACCCCATTGTAACAGGTATTACCTAAATATATCACGATGCAAAAAAATCACCTACAAATGACTCAATTGGGATTACTCATAGTAACATCGCCCTGACTTATGAATACTTGACAGGACCCTCCCAAAAAGAGTCCTGATACTTGGTAAACAAACTTAATAAACACAATATCTCAGCTTTTCAACAAAATTCCGGTGAAGATGAGTCAAAAGTACAATTCAGATTTCACGTCTTTGAGGGACTGCAATACTTCCATTACATGTGTTCGCTTCTCTGTGGCGACCATCTGCTTAAGCTCAGGCTAGCTTGGCCTGGGTTATTGTGGCCTTACGTCTGGCTCAGCCTGTGTTTACACTCGGGGCTGCTAAGGCTACTTGTGTGTCCTGTGAAAACAGACCGTGGCCAATCCAAGGCTCCCTGTCTGCTCCGTTTACCGGCACTGTGCTATCCGTCTGGGCAGCGAAGCCACAAGCGTGCCAAATACTCGTATGGCGGCGGTGGCAGCCTGTCGTGTGTTCCCACGTGCCAATCCTCCTCTGCTGAGTCTGAAATTGGTGCCCCTCCAGTGTGTGCGTATGTGTGCTCCTCTTTGAATGGTGGGGAGCGATAGTTTAGTGGTTAGCGCACTGCGCTACGAGATTGATTCCCTACTCTTTGGTTCGGTAAAGTCACGTAGGTAAAAAAATAAAATAAATTGGTGCTACGTGACTTTACCGAAAGAACCAAAGAGTATGGATTCGTGCAGTCACGAAAGTTTAAAATCAAGATTGAGATTGATTCCCACTCACGACCAATAACTGTGACGAATATTTTAACCGGTTCTTGGCCTCTCTTAGGTCGACTCAGCCATAGATTATTTGGCTGTTATATAAATCTCCACATGATAAGCCACATTGTTGAGCTATCATTTGTGGCCAGGTGCATTCTTAAAAAGAAGATAATATTTTAGTGAGATGTACCTGGTAAAATAAAACATGGTTCGAGTTTAGTTCAAATAAGTACCTGGCGTGGTGTGTAACCACCAGCACTGGGGAGACAAAGGTGGCTAGGGGTGGTGTTGGCCACGTGCCACCCCCTGTGTCGTGCAGGCCTTAATAGGTGCTACTCTGCAACAGTGTTTGCCCCAACAGTCTAAAGGCTATACAGGCCATCTTTGTCTATGGTCAACTTTGAGAGATTTGCAAATCGATCATGTACGCTGTATGTGCCGCACATTTGTACAATATCTGAATGTTTGTGTAATTTTGACTAATTGCTTGAAGCAGCCCCGCCTTCTAAATTATTATATTTGGGTGGGAAAATGTATGTAAGCACCATCATTTGCAGTTGTAATGGCTGCATACACAAACGCAGTGATCTACTGTTGTATCCGTCTTCTAAATGTTAAGTTTCATTTTATGATACACAAACACGATCTGCAATAGTTGGAGGGTGATGGACAATATCCAAATGTAGTTACAACTGAGCAATGTGCGTCACAGCCTTTCTCCCTACACAGGACCTTACACCTCTGGAGTTAGAGCTATGCAGGACCTATGATAGACAAAACAGATGATAGTATTACTCATTGTATTGATTATTTCCATTTTCTTAGGTTTTTTCGGTAAAGTCACGTAGGTAAAAAAAAAATTTTACTTTTAATAATTTTAATTTTTTACCTACGTGACTTTACCGAAAAAACCTAAGAATATGAATCCTTGCAGTCACGAAAGCTTCAAATCTAGAATTATTTCCATTTTTTTAAGTTTAACATTTACTGCTTCGTGCTCTCTCGCTGAAGTTTCGTAAGCCCCCATTTTATAAAATCGCACGTGACGATAAGCCACTTCGTTGAGCTTTCATTTGTGACCAGGTCGCTTCTGAAAGAGAACTATATAGCTCAGTGGGCCTTACCTGCTAATAAAAGAAAAGTTCACAGTTAGTCGTAGAAGGTTGCGCTGCAGTGCTAGTACGACGTAGCAGCTTGTGCGTCTCAATACCATTTGGCCAATCGCTTCGGCGTGAGCTAACGCATCGTGGACACGCACGCACGCACTACCCCGGCCACTGACTGCACGTCGCTGTGCCGACTGCTGGAGAATTGGCGGCTGCGGTTCTACCAACTGTACGCAAGATACATTTTTTTTGGTCTGGCAGACTTCCACCGCTCTCTCTCTCAACGGTATGTCACTTAGCTCTCTCTCCGTGAAAGCCACGTGTCTCGGTTGAGGCCGTTTCGTTCGTAAGGTGGACGTGCAAGCGACTGCAGCATCGGTGTGTCGTCTGTACACGGAGCCAGCAAAGAGAAATTTACAAAAAAAAAAACCTTACAGGTGTTTAGAGTTGCCCCCTCCCTCCCCTCCAGGTATGCCTAATGGAGGTTGTTTAAACATCGGCGCTATGCCAAAGCATTCTTCCCAACATCATCTGCAAAGAGTTGCATGGCTTAAAAAAGTATGAGCTGATCTGCACCAGCTGTAGTTCAATGCAAGATTTGACGCGATGAAGCACGCGTCTGATAAAACACATAAACCCGCGTAGAGAAAGTACAGGGCACTTGCCTGCAATCATATGTTGTGCCTACAAGTATGCTGTACTTTATCATATATATGAAATATATAATTATATAAATACATTTGAAACATGTAATAACATAATGCAATGTATAGCTAAGATCAGGGCAAATCTATGATTAAAACGCGTGACTTAATACATTCATTTACAGCCCCTTGTTTCCATCCACTGCTGGATGAAGGCCTCCTCACACTGTCAGTCATGGGTGTTTCTGACTGCACGTGGCCACACGAGCCAGAACCGGGAGCGACGTCGAACTTAAGTGGCCAGGGTCATCGCGCAGTGCGTAGTAAAGCCACTGCACCGCCACTGACCTCCCAACGTATCCCACGGAAGCACAAAAAAACGCACAGCGTATGGAATGAAATGCGACGGCTCCATTCAGGCAGGCACGACGCTCTTTTGGGTTTAAAGTCTCTGTTCAGGGCTACGTCAATCCCATACGTTTGAAGACGACACGCACGCAAAGGTCTCCACGGCGCCCGAGATGTTAGTGACTTTCGTTTAATTTGTGCCATCACTGTCACGTGTTTGAAGCGAAACTATCGTGTACACAATAGACACATGTATAGAGCAGAAGCTGGCAATGCTTGTGCACACATTGCATAAGCATCGTTCTGGTATATGCAACACCGAATAATCATTTATCGTTTTTTTTATACAGAATAATTTATGCAACTACATCGCAACAACGCTGCACAATCTGTGAACACGGAGGCGCACGTATCAAGGTGTTTTCAATGAATGAGTGTTTTGTACACGTGGGAGGAAATTGTAAGACAAGGAGAAAACCCAATCTGTGCGAGGGGGAAGCAACACCATCCCATACGTCTGTTGCAGGTGGAGGTCAGTCTAGCTAAGATCAGGGAAAATCTATGATTTAAACGTATGACAACTTCTCCGTTTCACTGTGCCGCCTTCTCCTGGCAAGCCAGGATATACATAATATAGGGTTTTGGGTCAGATCGCGTTATTATAAATGTGCCACATTTATAAATTTATAATTTTTTAATTTATAATTTATGAATAACGCAATCTGACCCAACAACCTATATTATGAATAATATTGGTCGCCAAAGCC